AGCTGGGTCAGTTTGGAGTGGAGGATGTCCAGGATGATGGTGTTGAATGCTGAGCTGAAAGTCCACAAAGAGGGTCCGTGCATAGGTCTCTAGGGAGTCGAGGTGTTGCACGATCGAATGTAGTGCCATGTTAATTGCATCGTCCACTGACCTGTTTGCCCGGTAGGCGAACTGCAGGGGGTCTAGCAGGGGGTCTACGGTGTCCTTCAGGTGGGCCAACACCAGTCTTTCAAAGGACTTCATAATTACAGATGTCAGGGCGACAGGTCTGTAGTGGTTCAGTCCAGTCCAGGTTTTCTTGGGGACTGGGATGATGGTGGAGCGTTTGAAGCAGGAGGGGACTTCACACAGCTCCAGTGACCTGTTGAAGATGAGTGTGAAGATGGGAGCCAGCTGATCGGCAAAAGAGGGGGTCACACCATCTGATGTGTTGGAAGCAGGTAAAAAAGGAAAGCCTAAGGATCTGAATGACTATGACAAAGGCCAAACTGTAATGGCTGACGACTGGGTCAGAGCATCTCCCAGCCTGCAGGGCTTGTTGGGTGTTTCCAGTTCGCAGCGGTCAGTACCTATCAGAAGTGTTTAAGGAAAGACAAACAGTGAACCAGCAACAGAGTCATGGGTGCCCAAGGCTCACTGATGCTCATGGGGAGCGAAGGTTAGCTCATGTTGTTCGATCCCAAAGAAGAGCTACTGTCCATCACCAAAAGCATCTACAAAGATCATGTGAGCTTCAGAACTAGACCACGGAGCAGCGGAAGGAGGAGGCCTGGTCTAATGAATCACATTACATCATGTGGATGGCCAGGTGCGTGTGTGTCGTTTACCTTGGGAAGAAATGGCACCAAGATGCAGTTCATTTCAAACAGAGAAATCCAAGCCAACCAAAATGCATCACTTACAAATCATGTGAGAACATTGCCTTCACTCAGTGGTCTGCGGGAAAGCTGCCTCCATCCTCAAGGACCCCACCTACCCAGTATGGACTGTTCACACCTCTACCCTCCGGCTGGAGGTACAGGAGTGTGAAATGCAGGACTTCTAGAATAAAAAACTCTTTCTTTCCAACTGCCATCAGACTCCTAAACAGCTGACAGGAGTATACAATCAGGACTTACATCATGTAATTCCACCTGTACTGTTTTCATTCTATGTTTGCACATGCATAATTGCACATGCATAATTGCACACTCACTGCCGCCTATTGCACATCCAGCTCTGATGTAGCATACATTCTCTCTTCATTATATTCTTTATATTTTTTATTATATTTGTTTCCAGTTGCTGTTTTTAATTAAGTGCCTTTAGATTGTGTGTACTGTTTATCTACCTTATATTTCACTTTGTATTGTTTGGCATTCATTGTGGACAGCAAAGTAAAAATTTCATTGTACAGGGAAATCCGTTTCCTTACTGTGCACATGACAATAAACACTTTGAGTGGAGCTGAGTTGAGTTAAAGAAGTCTGGGACAGGAACAAGAAAGCAAACACAGAGAGAAAACCTGCATTCTCTACTGATGAATAGTCCTAAGAAATGTATTTTGTGTGCAACATAGAGAAATAGCATAATCAGCATTTGCTCATAACTGTGGTAAATTTTTGGGCTCCTAAATGTAACACCCAATGGTCAAGCAGTTTCAAATTCTGCTCATGTTACTGACCTAGCTCTCTACTTTACCAGATAATAGGCCAGAAAGTGCCCATGAAAAAAAATCTAACTGTAATATAACATTTTAACTTGAGACTCACATATATCCACTGTCCAGAACCTCAGCAACCACAGGGACCGTGACACCTTTCTCCCTGGTCTTTCCTTGCACATAGCAATTCACCTGGAAACACAAAGTTATAGTTTCATATGATTTATAAAGCTTTTACAGAAGAATGGAACTTAACATTAAGTTAATAAGCTGTCTAAAACATTTTCTGTCTGATCATTATGTACACATAACTATATTGTAGGTGACTGTATATATCTACAGGTCATCACATAATATAAAATTCATGCAGTGAAAGTGATGGAAGAACACTACAGAGGTCTGTCTCTATCTGAAATGTGCATACATGTGTCTGAACACTTTCTTACGCAATGACTTACTGTGAGCTTTATGGCTTTCTCAAGTGCCACACCCAGTAGCTGTGGTACCAGACCTATCATTAGGAAACAACAAAATAATTAGAAAAAAAGAGTGCTGTGGTGCCTAGTCACACACACACACACACACACACACACACACACACATATATATTGTATAAACATATACCACTTTCACACATGCCATATTAAGGGTGTCATCCTGGTGCATGTGTTTGACCCTGTGAGATCCCCCAGACACTAATAAAATCTATTGATGTGGAGTGTGGGGACAACCAGAGATAGGGGAAGAAGAAGAGTTGATGAAGAGAGAGAAAAAAAAGCTTCCCAGAATAGTAAAGGCCAAGCATAAAACAAACCAGCTAAAAGTTTACATAGACCTCAATTACAACCAAGAGTCAGCTAATAATAAATAATCACAGCAGAGCACATTGAAAGCTCACCCTCTACGAAGCCCCAAGGCCAGTAGAGCGCACACACGCACATCTGTTACAAACACAGTTAATCGTTTACAGTAGTTTGTGTGTAATGAGGACACACACATACCATATACACACATCATTTCATATACTTGATTTTGAACTTGGAAAAGAACCTTCCTGGACCTGCTAAGAAAAACTATTTAAATGCTTATAAAATGCCTATTTAATTAAATATATTTGAGTACACAAAAGGACAAAGGATAATCCACCTAATTTATTTTTGGCAAAGTCATCCCCTTAAAAAGAGAGATCCAAGCTTCATACTACAAAAGTAATTGAGCCAATTTCATGCTACTGATTCAAAATTTTTGCCTCAGCTGATTTTTATGACATGAAGGCACTTTCAAGTTATATTGCATAACAAGAGCTTGGCTGCAGCCAGGATACCTGTCTGGCCTTCTACCTGGAACCAGACCTGTCTGCTCTGGATGTCTTTTGTGTTTCCCATAGAAATTAAAGCATTCAAGTTTCCTCTTGGGAGCTCGGTGCTGTCAATCAAAATGAAGGGGTTTACAAAAGTGCCTGCTACGGTTGTAGGGGACTATTACTCAATCCTTTTTTAACCCAACCCCAAAAATACAGAGGCAGACACTCAAATCCCAGTCTCTCAAGGCAGGGCACGTAATCATTAGGAATGTTGCGCCCTGGTATGTGCTACCTGCATGCATGTAAGTATGTGGATTCCTCCATGCCTGTGTGTCTGTTCAGTGTTTGTATTTGTGTTTGTATGTAGGTCTAAACATGCAGCACATCATGGCACAGGGATAAAGTTATGTGGCCTTGAGTGTGGTGTTCATTGTCCTGCTCCAAAAGTCCCCAGCCTGACGGTAATCGCTTCAAAGGAGAAAGGTCAAGAGAGAGGTGAACTCACACAGTCCTCATAGCCAACCTACACTTTTCTTCTCCTCTTGCTTCCTTTCTCATGTATTGTTCGTACTAGTCATCTCTTCTTTATTCTGTCATCTCAGCTCCTTTATTCCCCCAAAATCTTTGGATTTGACTGTCTGTGAGTTGCTTTTTCCCTAACACAAATTTAGGGATGTTTTTTTTCTTCTGTGAGCATAATCATTAACATGTTGTACATGATGCACAACAATTTTGCTTGAGTCCAAATCATAATTGTGCCAAACTAGTGAAAGTACATAAAAAATGGGTTCGCCAGCTAGTGTTCTGAAAGCAGCATGCCATGTATTTCTGACACATGTGTTACTGTATATGCTACGCTGGATGTCACATTAAATGCCATGCCTCTGCTACCGGGATGCCGGCATCTCTGACAAGAACACTGCTGTAATATTCTATTGGCTTTGTTTAGTTTAGTGTAAATAAGCAAGGCTATCATATGAAGGGTCAACTCTATGGTAAAATACAAGGATCTCTGTCTACAAGAGATACAAGACTATCTACCTGGCAAAATACTAGTTTAGATACATTAAAAACATGTTTTGTTTTTTTTTATTTGAGTGACAACACTTCCAAAGGAAGAAGGAGAGGAGAAGGAAGGGGAAGTCTGTAGGATTTATGTTAAGAAAGAAATCGACGTGTTTTGAGTCCTAGTGTCTTTGGCCCATCAGACGGACACAAACAAAAAGAACTGACCCAAGGCGACAGACTTAATTAGAGAGAGACCAAGAGAAAAGAAGGGATGGCAGACCCATACCTCCTTATTAAGCTGTCTCCTTTGGGATAGAAGGAGGAGTAGAAGGGAAGAATGAAGGAAGGGAGGAGGAGGAGAAAACAGTGGGAAGTCTGGAGCCAAACACAAGGCCTAGGCACCACCCTTCAACCCTTCACCCCCACCTTCATCTTCTCTCTTCTGATCACTCATACAGGTACAAAAGAATCCACACAAGAGGGTTTTCCCATGGTATGCAAGGAGGCGAGAGACAGAACAGGGCGAGACAGAAGAGTGGTTGAGAGCGGGAAAGAGATTGAGAAAGAGAGATTGAGCGCGAACAAGAAAGAGAGGGAGCACTTCTCTTTAGACAAAAAAACAGGCAAGCGGGTGGCGGCCTGGTGGGGTGAAAATGCAGGGAGCCAATGGGGCGTGACTCTTACCCCCTGCCACTGAGCCAAGGGTGAGCCTGTAGACCGACTCTGCCACCTGGATGAAAATGGGGTGGGCACCGTCACTGCCCAACTGCTGCCTACCCAGAGGACAAAAAAGACAGTAAAGACATGAGTGCAACGCAATGAATTCAAACAGTAATACTGAGCTGATAAAGAGAGACAGGCCACAGTTTCTCTAGAAGAGTCCCCACTGTCTATACCTCACTGCTGTTTCTCATAAAATGCTGTGCCACACATCTAATTCCACCACCCTGCAAGCTAAATTACAGGCTATTTAATCAATCATTTGTCACACAAGCTGTATAGTGTTTGACAGCAAGTCCTCATTTCATGATGGAGACTAGTATACAGTACAGATCGTTTAATAAAATTATCCTGACAAGAAACGAGTGGGAAACTACTTGAATATAAGAGCAAGTAAGTGATATTAATTGATGATAAACACATTAAAACCATAGAATACAAACATGTCTTAGTATGTGGAAACATCCAGTATTTGATGATGTGACTGTAACATTGAGGCAAAATGGGATGCAGTTAAGGATTATATTTCATTAAATATCAATGTATTAACTTGATATTTATTTTTAGGATTAACCAATTGTTTAGACTATGAAATATCAGAAGAATGGCCTTCGTTATCACACACAGTGCAATATAATGTCTTTGAAATGTTTCTCACCTTACAGAGGAAAGAGGAAATATTCTCATTTAACAAGCTGTAACCAGACACTGTTTGGCATTTCTGCTAAAATGACTTAAATAATTACTTAATTATCAAGACTGTCTATTGAGTTTTTGTTTGACAGACTATTCAGCTAACAGACTAAGCTCACCAACTGCTGGAAGCAACATAAAATCCCAAATCAGTAGCTCAAATTGTCAGATTTTGCAAAATTTGAAAGAGGAAACTGTTAATGATGTTTCAATGGGTTCATATATCTGCTGCAAGAGATGAATGCTGCATCTTGAGCTAGGGTTATAAATACAAAATACTTTTTCAGAAAACAAAACAATTACGTACGAATATCTACTGTTTCATTGGACTGAGCTGAAGTTTGTTTTCATGTTTCATAAAGATGTACAAACTTTATAACAACTGATTATTTTCAAGGTATTACCTGCATAGAGTACTTTAGATTATATACTATATACTCCAATTAAGCATATTTTCTGTTTACTTCTTTCAAATACATTGTTCATTTATTGCCCTTCTCCACCTAAAACTACACTGTACACACAAAGCTGCTGGTAATATTTATATTCATATTACATTTTTTAATTGCTCATTTAAGATTAGTTTCAGAGAAATCTCTGTGTGTCCTGCACCAGTCTATAAGAGCATCTGTCAAATAAAACTGGAATCAACTTGTATAGTCACCATGTTAGTAGTAGTCAGCATCAGCCACACAGCAACATTAATCACACCTCCCCTCACCTGAGGTACCTGTTGCCTGGCGGGGGATGGATTGTAGTAAGTATGTGTGAGGGGGATGGAAATCTGCAGAGTGAACTCACACCCCCTCCACAATTCATGCTCAGAGGTTGCTTCCTGCCTAAACATCCCCTCCACAACCTCTTCCACTTCTCCCATCCTCCTCAGCTCTATGTGACTAATGACCAAAATAATCTGTGGGACAGAGGAAGGGCTCCAGCGACAACTTCCCAGCGACAAGATTCCACTCTCAGGCTCATCCAGATAAGAGGCATCGACAAGCACTGGAAAAAAATGAGTGACCAGAGTAGAAACTATTTTCATATTAGCTCATGTATAACCTGCCATACAAAAATTATTTACATGTACAATATATCTGCAACAGTGACTGTCCCCACATTCTATGTCAAAAAACATCTTGCAATTATTGAATTTTCAAATGTAAAACATCATGTATCCTCCTGTTTTTAATGAAGAATCTGACCCGTGTCCTTTCTCAGAACTACTTGACACATTCTACTTGATATTTTTCCTTTCCTTTTTTTTTTGGTTGCCCATAAGGGTTGAAAATTATTTTTTGGAATTGCTGATATGGATCACGTTGATCAGCATTTGGGTAGAGCAGTTGTCTCCCAGCTGGAGGGTTGGGGGTTCGAATCTCGGTACCTGCAATCCACATGTTGAAGTGTCCTTGGGCAACACACTGAACCCCCAAGTTGCCCCTGATGGTTGGATCCATCAGTGTGAGTTGGCGCCACAGATAGCTGCCTTGGTTCTGTACTGGAAACAAATTCCTTGTGTGTAACATACTTGGCCAATAAAGGTGATTATTTGCTTGTATAAACTGCTTACAGTCTTGAATATGTATAGTTTGTTTCTGCTTGTTAAATGCATGACATTAGATGTTGGTAAGGGACACTGTGAAGTTTTCAATGAGGCAAACATGATGATTACTGGTAGCTGCCTGGTACACCTCTTCGTAATAGATTCATTGTTAGATAAAGGATCCAACCATGAAACCAAAGAACTACTGGACACTGAAGAAGGCATAGCCAAATATCTGCATGTTTTTCCTTGTGCTCAAACATGATAATTTAAGCTACAGTAAATTAAAGGACATGTGTTATTAATTTGGGTGTGCAAACCTTTGTTGTGCTTTGGACTTCGGTTATATGCACCCCAGCTGTCCCTTTGACTTTGGATGACCATAATGTTTTTAACTTCTACTGCCTGATTAACTGTCAGGATGTTTGAGGGAGAATCAGAGAACAAGTTAACAGGATATAAATAAAAAAAAGACAAAATGGCAAACGTGTAGAGAAGAAGTCAGAGAGCCACACAGATCAAAAAAGGGAACAAGCAAAAGATGAGGAGAGAGCGCTCGGTGGCCAGCCTCTGAGGTCAAACCACGAGGACCTAAAGTGGCTCATTGTGGTGGGAGTGGCGTCTGTGTAGTGCCGGGCCCCTTTGCTTGCTCCCCTTTGGCCCCAGCACTCTCCAGTATGGCCTAGCCAAGCCTTCAGTATATCACTGGAACCCACCAGGCAGCACATTCCTGACCAAACAGTCAAAAAAGGAAAGCAGTCCTCTGCTCATCAGTCTGGCTGTCCAGTCAACTTTCTTCTAGCTCGTCATGACAAACTGCTATTATTCACTTGCTGTAAAGTCTTTTCACATCAGTTATTTGCAACTTGGAACATGTTTGACTTTCTTCAGGTCTCAGTTTAATTGACTTTGTTGCCATGGATTCGAGAGTTTTGTGTGTATGTTTTTTAAGACATCAACCACATGTCAGGAAGAGGTCTAGTGGTGTTTTCTCTCAAGAAAGTCTTCTTAAGGTCAAGGCTGTGCTGGGAAATTACTTAGACTAACATTTTGCCTGAACCTTGGTATGATCTTGTGAAAATGAGCACAGCTGTTGAGTACTAGGGGCAAACATTCCACTTTATACCTGAAAACAATTGCTCAGATCTGTGTCTCCTACGTTTCTTTATTTTACTGAAATGTCTCAGTGAATTAATTGTGTAATTGATGCCAGCATCCAAAATCAAACTGATATTTTGGTTTTGAGGATTAGTTATCTGTGAACAGGAGATATCATTACCCATGATTATAAATCATACACAATGTGACATCTAGTCCTAGATATTGTATCAAGATGATAAAGAGTTGCCAGAGTGGAAGAGGAAACCAAACACATCAACAAGTCTTCATATCCTGTACCTGTTTCTGGACCCCAGCCAAGCTGCAGGGCAGGGCACTTTCCATCAAGGGAGAGATCTTCTCAACATCCACTACACCAACATGTCTGGTAAAGAGCAGAGTGAGAGGTTTCAAGTAACTTTCAGCTGCTGTGAACGTTCTCAGAGGATTATAACATTTCATTCATGTATCACCAAGGCCATGACCTTTGCAAGCACAATCTGTCAGACTGAAGTTACTCAAACTTTACGAATACTTTGTCAACATTCCATGTGAAAATATTGTGGCATTCAAAAATCCAGACCCGTACTTGGTATGACTGCATTAGACAACTGATATATAGGAACTGAAAACTCCCTTCATCCAAGTATAACAAAGACTTTTTAACCTTTGAATAGAAAACTGCTGCCTTTCTGAGCCTTTTCATTGCATTTCTATGATGATACAAAATTTCTCAGGCAGATGGAACCAGGAACGCCAAATCTTCCCAACCCCTCTCCTATGAATATTAGGGCTATTATCCCTTGCATCTCCAATCAAGGGGAATGGAGAGGGCAATTAAAGTATCCCATTGCACAGAAATAATAATCAGTATCTCAGGCCAGGGTTAGAAGTTATAAGTGCACTGGTCAGGCCGTGAGGCAGATGCAAAGGAAGTATGGCAATGTGAGACATATACATATGTGCCGTGGATCATGGGGACTAGAATTGCCCCCTTTTTTTAAAGAAAGATGGGAGTTTGGAATTAGTTTGAACTGAAAGATGATGCTCTGGCACTGATGTAGCCATCTCTGAAGTTTGAGAAGGAAGAACGCATTCTTCTCTCTGAGGTATGGACCCTGGGGCGAAAGGTGCGCTTTGGGGGGCAAGTGAGAGATAGATTTACACAACTCCATTAAAAATTAAATCACTGAAATATGAAATCACTTGTGGCTACAATTTTCTAAAATTATGATACACAGATTAAATACTGTATATTAAAGCAAGTTTCCTCCACACTTTGTGACATTATTAAATCAAACCTGGCAACCTAAGGCAAACCCTTTTTTTTTATTTTTGAGGCTTTAGAGATTATTATTTTTGCCTCTGCTTACGCATGTCTATTGTATTTGTGTAAGTCTCACCTATGGGGCTCTGACAGGTCTGCCAGCTGGAAGAGGATATTTGCCTTGATGATAGTACTAGAAAAGTCAAGGGATCACCATAATTAATACAATTCAACCTGAGTGGGTCATGAATGTTTATCCCCAGTTTCATAGGAGTCTATCTAATAGTTGTAGACTAAAAACCACAAACTCTTGTTGACAGAGAAAAACTAGAATTACTGCTTTGCGGTTGTATGCCTCTGCCAACCAGTCAAATTCACGGATATGGGACATTATTGAAGTCACTGACCTTGACCTTTAACCACCAAAATTTAATCAGTTCATCCTTGAGTCCAAGTGGACACTTGTGCGAAATTTGAAGAAATTTCCCCAAGGTGCTACTGATAATGTTCACAAGAATGGGCCGTATGGATGGAAGGACAACCGAAAAACAATGCCTCTGGCCACAGCTATTGCTGGCGTGGAGGAAAAAAGTGAGGTAGACTCAAAATCATCCAGTCTTATCAGAACGGGAACGTGAATATCTGTTACAAATTTCATGGCAGTCTATCCAATAGTTGAGGAGACATTTCAGTGTGGTGTACCCTACCTGTTTCCCAGTGTCAGCTGAAATAGCCCCCCCCCACAGCAACCCTATTCAGGAATAAGCAGTGTAGATAATGGATGGATAGATGGATGGACATTTCAGTTTGGACCAAAGTGGTGAACCACATAGTGAACACATACTTCATCAGCAGACACCTGATTATAACCTTCTCACAAAGATGCACAGTCATGACTTGCCTTGTGGTTGTACACTGCTGGCTCAATAACAGATGTGTTGTGTGAAGGTCTCCTGTGTATGTAAACACACAAGACCTTGCACACGTGTGCACTCACTTTTGTATAGGCGTTAAGCACTGTAATGAAGTCCCCATGGCAAAACAGTGGCCTTGATGCACATATGAAATTAATCAGCATTATTACACATGTATGCTTGCTTGGCTTTGTTAATGCATTTGAATGCTTGTGTGTATGTGCAAAATGTTAGTGAAAAGTCTGCAGATGTGTGTACAATATGTGTTTGTTGACCAGCTTGTAGTACATGGAGCAAAGTACTCACATTCCCCAAGGAGGCCTTAATGACTCAGTGAGTAGAGGGTGGATGGGTGGTGGCTGTGGAGGTCTGGCTAGCTATTAGCCATCGTGGGTACAAGCTCCATGTACCCATGGTGGGAACAGCCTTGGGAGTGTATGGGCTCTTGGTCTGGATTGGATATGGTCCACACCCCTGATAAGACTTCAGATAGCATCATAAGGCCCTGGGACACGTGGACGGAGGTCAGACTGGTTTCTTATAGACAACCAGAGCAGGAGAGAGGGAGTGTAGAAGGAAACAGACAGATAAAGGGAAAGAAACAGAGAAAGCCAACTAGGCTCCTTGTCAAATATTGAGAAGAGGAATGAAAGACAGCAAGTGGGGCAAGCAAACGATTTTAACTACCCAGGAGAAAGAGATGTACAGAACATGTCTGAAAAAGATAAACACTGTTGGATCAGTAAACACCAAAATGCTAAACTTTCACCTCCTTGTTGCTTCACACCTTTGCTCTACAATAAATTAGATGACAATGTTTGGCAAATAAAAAGTTGTAATTTCTGAAGGTTCAGTTGATCTACAGGGTCAAACTGCAGGCTCAAAAGTGAGCTCATAATTTTGAAAATAATAATAATCAAGCAAACCTCATTTTTGTTCATTTTTTAAAGAAAAATCTCATTATCAACCAAAAACATTCCAGGACAACTAAAGTGGTCCTCAGATCAGTGCGAGGATGTCTAATAGACAAGACAGGCACCTTCGGGGATTGTGGGTATGCAGTACGTGTGTTGGGTCGGATCCAGAATGTCCTTTTAAATGCCACCGGGAAGGAAGAAAACCAGACAAAAACAAGTTTCCACCCTCCTTCCGCCACACACAAATGTAAATACATCATTTGAAAAACACATTCAGTACTGCCTCTAGGTCAGAACTGTATTAGCATGTCTATGTGGCCACACACAATGAGTTGTTTTGTGTAATGTCCTGCATGCTGTCAGTCTTCCTACACACCATACATGGGGACAACATCACTGCATGTACTACTGTATACTCAAATGTGCTACTGTTTTTTTTTTTTGGCTGACTGTGTTAAAATGTCTGTGCAAGAGCTTTTTTCTGCCTGGGTACCTTTGGTGACGTATACATGTCTACGTCGGTCAGTCAGGGTCCTGCAGATCTTTTTAACCAGCTTCATGTTGTTGAGCAGCAAGTTGCAGCTGTTGACGTGGGAGAAGCTAACCTGACAAAGTGTGCTCCCACCTGCTACCTGGGCAAGATGGAAAAGAGGGAATTTAACAGGCAACAGAGTAACCAACACACAGAAAAACAATCATAGTCCAAATTGAATAAATGCTTGAGGACGGTACGCAGATAGGGGTGGCTGTGGCTCACGAGGTAGGGCAAGTCGTCTTCAAGTTGATGGTTCGACTCCCAGTCACCCCTGAGCAAGACACTGAACCCCGAATTGCTCCCGGTGGCTTGACTAGCGCCGTTGTGTGGCAGCCTTGTCGTCATCAGTGTGTGAATGTGTGTGTGTGTGTGTGAGTGTGTGTGTGTGTGTGTGTGAATGGTGTATGATCTCCTGTAAAGCGCTTTGGCCAGTGCAACACACTGTGAGAAATGTGCTATATAAATACAGTCCATTTACCATATTACAGTATGATTATGATCCTAAGAAAACCTCCATCAGTGGACTGTTGCCCTGACATCTGTAGTTATGAAGTCATTTGAAAGACTGGTATTGGCCCACCTGAAGGACACCGTAGACCCCCTGCTAGACCCCTTGCTGTTCGCCTACTGGGCAAACAGGTCAGTGGATGACACAATTAACATGGCACTACATTACATCCTGCAACACCTCAACTCCCCAGGGACCTATGCACGGGCCCTCTTTGTGGACTTTCAGCATTCAACACCATCATCCTGGACATCCTCCACTCCAAACTGACCCAGCTCACTGTGTTTGCCCCAGTGGATTACGAGCTTTATGACAAACAGGAAGCAGCAGGTGAGGTTGGGGAAAACCACATCCAGCACCCAGACAATAAGCACAGGCGCCCCCCAGGGATGTGTGCTCTCCCCTCTGCTGTTTTCACTCTACACCAACGACTGCATCTCGAAGGACCCCTCTGTCAAGCTCCTAAAGTTTGCTGATGACACAACGGTCATTGGTCTCATCCAAGACGGTGACGAGTCAGCCTACAGACGGGAGGTTGAGCAGCTGGTCC